CCACTTGGTCCAGCAGCCCTCCAAGGAGTCATGACTGCAGGTGTTTTTAACTGCAGACTAACCAGCAGATCTAATCTGAGTTATAGGGATACATGGCTCAACAGAGATAGGACTTTTCATTAGTCTAGCTACAGTACTGAACAGAAACCTGGGATTGTTTTTATTCTCTTCTATTAAAGATGAATAATATACAGTTCTAGCTTTATGAAGGGCTTTCTTACATGTTAGCAGGCTGTCTCTACAGGTTAAATAAGATTCTTCTGTTAGTGGAGCACCATTTTATCTCCAGTTTTCTAGATGTCTGTTTTAAAGAACGTAACTCTGAATTAAACCAAGGAGTTGACTTCCTCCGATCGATAACTTTCTTTTTTAGTGGAGCAATTTTATCAAGAAAGGTTTGCATTAAAGTTGTAATATTGTCAACAAGACCATGTAAGTTACTGTTCTCTGTTACATTATTCTGTAAGACAGAGGAAAATAAAGATGGAAGAGATTCTTTAAATTTATCTACAGCATTCTCTGATAAACATGTACTATAATGAAATTTACTCTCAGTAGCCATAAAGTTAGCTAATGAAAACTCAAAGATTATTAAAAAATGGTCAGAGAGAACAGGACTGTGAGGATAAATCATTCAGTTCTTGCTCTCTACACCATATGTCAGAACCAGATCAGTGTGATGAAGAGAGTGAGTAGGTCTGTGGACATTTTGAGTAAAACTAATTGACTCAATTAAATTACTAAAAGCTATATTTAAACTATCACTTTCACTATCAATATGAATGTTAAAATCTCCCATTATTATAATTTTATCAGTATTTAATAATAAATCAGTCAGAAAATCTGAGAACTCTGATAAAAWCTGAGAATAAGGACCTGGAGRACGATAAATAACAGCTAGTGGTTTCTCTGATTTCCATTTTGGATGAGAAAGACTGAGGGACAAAGACTCAAACTAATTATAACTAATATTTGATTTAGCATTAATTAATAGTTCTGGCCTTGCGACCTGTCCAGGGTGTACCCTGCCCCTCGCACTGTGACTGCTGGATATGGGCACCAGTGACCCACGCAACCCTGAAAAGGAAGAATCGTGTGCAGAAAATGGATGGATGGATGGATAATAGTTCTGGCTTA